AAAAAAAAAAACAAAGTGCGCGTATGTGGATGTGTGCAGTGGTGTTGACGGTGTTTCGTAACTGGGTGCATTCGGCGAGAGCCGCTCCCCTCTCTCCCTTCCCCCACAGCTAAGCTCACTGTGGTCCCCTTTTACTACTGAGAGAGTGTTCAGGCTTGGTATTAAATAAAAAAAAAAAGTAAGGACGAATGGAAAACAAGCTGGAGCCAACGCCCCATCAGCACACAGGCACACACACACGCACACACACAGGGCGAGCAAATTTACTCCACTCCATCATCGGCTCTCAGTGGCACTGCCACCTCAATTCCTGCAGTCCATAGCCTGATAGCACACTCCCCTACCCCTTTTCCCCTTATTGTGCCCTTTTCTTTTCGTTCTGCTGTTTTTTTTTTTTCGACGTTCATTCATGTAGACGGATACGACAAATCCAGACAACCATACAAATACTACTGAAAGTCAACGTAGCTCCTCGTGATGCTCTACGCTTGTGTTGAGAAGCAGGGAAAATATCGTGATGGCTGGGTCGAGCGCCGCATTGCCTTTGACACAGAGGCATGCCACATGTACTGCAGCGCCAAAGAAAGCGGCCACCACCATATGTGGAAGCACAAGGTGAAGGTGGTGCGCATCATTGCAAAGGCCATTGTGACTAAGATCGACTACACCGCATCGAACTTTGACCCGCGTGACCTCTTCGCGTTCAAGGTGGAGGGCAGCTACCGGTCCCTCCGCAGCGGCCCACTACCGGAGCTGGAGCGTGCGGAGTCCAGCCACCCCGTTCTGTGCCCCCGTCCCCCCGAAGATCCTGAGCCCCTGCATCCAGTGGAAGACGAGGGCACCGGTGGTATGCTTGCGTGGTACTTTCGCATGAGCAACGAGACAGACTTCATGACGATTTACACCACCATCCGTGACGTGCTGATCCGCGAGGGGATGCGGCCACCGCAGTTCTGGGGACTGCCGAAGATGGACCCGCGCATTCAGGTGCCGCTCGCGGAGCCGCCGCTCTACCTGTGGCTCACCTTCCGTGCCATAAAGCAGTCCGTGATGTACGCCTGTGTGCATGGCCACATGGCGGTAAAACACGACAAATCATCACCAGCTGGCTCACTGAAGCTCTCGAAGGATCGCGTGTACCTTGTACTCTTCGACAATTCGGTGATGGTGTTTCGAGAGAACGGTCAGGCATTGACCGGCATTCCCACCACCGCAATCAAGACATTCCACTACGCCACAACAGATGTTGACGAATCAGTGAAGTATCCACGTAATTCAAAGTGCCGGTGCTTCATGGCGTTTCTTTCGACTACAGAGGCGTACCAAGACATCCTGTTTGTGCCGACATTGGAGCGATTCGCCGACGCGAACGAGACCAACGTCCCCGCCGCGCAGGTGAACTGTGTGTTGTTCGCCCTGAAGCAAATGGCTCCGCTGACGTGTCTTTTTCACCAGAAGGCTGGAAATACCGATGCCCCACCCATTGAAATTGCGGAGGCGAGTGTGTTGACAGCTGGGCAGGAGGGTGACGTGGAAAAGTATCAAAACGGACTGGTGGACGTGTACGCGAGGGAGCTGGTGCAGAAGCAGGAACTTCATCTGCCTGAAGAAGTAGATGCGTCCCACGACAAGTGCAAGAGCGACCAGATCATTAACAATCTTCCAGCGCCACTTCACCTCTCAACACTTGCGTCGAAGCTTGGCATCAAGATGAAGAAGTCGTTGACAGACTACCCGGACCGTTACGAGTATTTCGAAGCAGAGGCGACTGTGGCGGACCCGACCTGTCCGCAAAAAGTGAAGAACCCGCTTCTGGATCTCTTTCTTTACAGCGGTGTCTCCTGAGGGGCCTGAGGAGTGTAGTAGCGAATGCAGGCGAATGGAATCGGTATTTACATAGGGAAACGAAGAAGCAGGCAACAATGAGCTGCAAATAGCTCACTTGCAAGCTGTATGTACGAGCTCTTAGTGAGGTATTTTCCTGAGACCAAAATTTATTTTTGTTTCTTTGCTTCTGTCGGTCATCTGACCTCTTTTGTTTTTTGTTGTCTTGTTTGGTTAAGGAGCGTGCTCGTGTTTTGGGAGGGGGGGGTGGAAGGGGGTGAGAGTGTGGACGCTTACAATGTTATTCTGCATTTTTCGGGTGTGTGTTGTTGGTATTTCTCTTGTTTTAGTGGTCTTGTTGGCTTCCGAATTTTCTTTGTTATTTTTGTTTGTTTTTTGTCGCCTTCAGGTGGCTTGGAAACCGTTTTGTTTTTTTT